TAAGTTCGTGAAGCTTGGCAACGGAACATCGTCAGTGGAAATTCCTGTGGCGAGTGCACCTTCATGTTTAGAAGAGTTTGCTGTTGAAGATGAGGAGAAAAAGGCAAATAATCACGACGAAAATGGAGCATCGGACGACTCAGTGCAGGATGATTTCTATGAAACGGATGAACAAGGTCATGAAGCTGACGCTGAGCTACGGAGATCCCGAAGACAGAATCGTGGTAATCCGCCGCGGTATCTCGAAGATTACGTGTTGAATGAAGTCGTCGGATTTGCTGCCAGTGCTTACGAGGAGCCGAACAACTACAAGGAAGCTATGAAGGAACCGAAGTGGCGCAGAGCCATGGAGGACGAGCTTGAGTCTCATCGGCGCAACGGGACGTGGGAGCTCGTGGAGTTACCCCGTGAACGGAAAGTTGTCGGATAGAAATGGGTTCTGAAGCTCAAGCGGAACGAAAAGGATGAGGTGGTCAAATACAAAGCACGAGTGGTAGCGCAAGGCTACACCCAACAACCGGGAATCGATTTTGATCAAGTATTTGCGCCTGTGACACGGATTGCGACCCTACGGACGTTTCTCGTAGTGGCTGCTAAGCGGAATATGCCAGTACACCACTTCGACGTTAAGACTGCCTACCTTTACGGTATACTTGACGAAGAGATATACATGAGGCAACCGCCCGAATTCGAAGTACCTGGAAAGGAGGAGAGAGTCTGCAAACTCAAACGCAGCATTTACGGACTGCGTCAGTCCGTAGCTTGAATACATCATATGGGCAGCTAAATAAGCAATAAAAGCTCGAATCTGAATACCTATCAGCACTGGGGGAGGTAGCTCATCGATTCTTCCGGTTCGCCTCCTAGCATCGTGCTATAAGGTACCAGGCGATAACCAGGGTAGTTGATCGATAGCTCGATGACATCATTTCGTTGGCGTCTGCAGTAGGAAACTCGCATAGCAGGCGTTGACGATGGGACGTTGCGAGTTGTTGAATAGCAACTATCGTGGTAACTCACCGATTACCTGTCGATCTGCCAAATTTGGAAAGACGTCTGCATTGAATTGTCTCATATAATAATATTCCGCCCACTATATCACAAGAAATTGCGAGTAGCTGAGTGGAATGGAGATAAGTTAAGCATTGGGTACAGGACCAAGTCTCCCCTGGGTGGTGCCAAAAGATGAGCGCAATAGAATCATCAAGTTGCCATTAGGCACGGAATGAGACTATTGCATGGCTGGGTAGTCAAAGTCTTCCATTCGTTAGTCATTTCAGGTGGATTAGAACAGGTTTGGATTTTTCAGATATAAGATACATTCATACCATTGGCATTTGGTATTTGAGATAAAGACAAAGACAGGATGCGGAGGGCCCGCTTAGGGGGAGCGTAACCCATGTTATGGCTTCCATTTATTAAATAGTTCAGATAGGCTGGAAATGATAGGTTCATGGTGAGAAAATGTACCATATGGTGCCCGTTCACTGATCATTGCAACGTTGATGATTTCCTATAGTGACACATATCACCTTCTTAATGCTTCAGTATGCCTCAAACGATTAATTCTTAGTTGTTAATAGAACTTCCTTGATGAAATCGGCTGCTTCATGCAGACTGAGCAATTCTGATTATAGTGTCAGATTTGTTCTGTATACAGAGGAACTGGGAGGGCTTATTAGAAACTTATCACCAATAAAATAATGATCTTCTAGTAAATTTTGCATTTAATTTAATTAATATTTTATTTTATTTAAGCATATTATTTTTGTTACAGTCAATTTGCATTAGCATATGATACAAGAGATTTAATATTACTTGCTCGTTTTCGCGTAAAATAATCAATATTTATCTTACTTGTAATTACCTTTGAAAGTTTTTTTTTTTAAGTTTTTTTTTTTTGTGATCTGAAAATTTACCCAGTTTGGTTAGAAGTTTCGAAGCTAACGCATGTCCACAGGCCTAATAGAAAGATAGGCAGAACAAGTGTATCATTAAGAATGGTTGCATGCAGGGTTGCTTCCACTCACTTGCTATAGATGAGTGATTTTCGGAGTTTTGAATTCGTTAGATGTTGTAATGGAGATTTGTGCTGTTGGATGCGGGTGGAGATTGGAGGGCGGGTGTTTGATGCATAGAGCCTGTCAATTTCGCTTTCAGAGTGTCGCAGTCAGCGGTTTTATGATTCGTGAGCGCTCGCGATTCGTAGAATCGTTGATTGTGACTGCAAGTGGATTTGACGGGTTTTGTGTTTCGGACGCTTGTTTTTGGCCTTTTCTTGTGTCTAACATGTGCAGAGTATCATTATAACGTCTACTGGTTTTGAGATTCCTGGTGGCGTGAAATATATTTGTGAGAATATCTTTTTGAGATTTTAACAGTCACGTTTTGTTTGTAGTTTATATTTTATTTATTCATGTAATTATCGTAAATAATAGTTATTCAATAATAGATAGTTCATCCATATATTCGTACTTTGACGCGAAGCGCTGTGGATTATGAGATGCTCGATGACCCTGGAGGGATCGATTTTGCTTACTGAGCAGAAAATCATAGATTTAACCCCAAGCTCTTCAACAGCACAATAAATCGCCACCATCATGTGTATATTTGATATTAAACATTAACCTTGGAAACTATTTGCATATCAAGCGAAAACGTAGTCCTGTATTGTCGCGAAGCGTTATGGTTCTGAGATGCTCGATGACCCTGGAGGGATCGTTTTGCTTACTGAGCAGAAAATTATGGGTTTAATCCCAAGCTCTCCGTCATGACTCTTAAAATTCATTATCACTAAACAAAATTAATATGTTCTTTCGATAGCCGGCTATCGAGAGATTAAATAAACAACAAATAAACAATACATACTTTTGGTTGCATCGCCAACTTGAGGTGAATCCTAACCGAATACCCTACCCAACCCTCCAACTCCGTAGCACTTATGAGGGTGTCGCTAAGTCGGTGGCCTCTCGTTAAGTAAGTACTACATCAACATTTCCTTCCTTATCCCTAGTTATGGTAAAGATGGGCGTGGCCGGGAATAGCGACGTCATGCTTCTGTTACTCTTGTTTAGATTGGAACCAATGTTTACTCCTCAGCATTATTCCTGAAAGTAGTCTAACTGAGAATTTCAGAAGAGACGTGAGTGTCGCTAGTATCCAATCTACGAAGTATATCATAACAACGCTAACGCTAACGAATCTGAATACCTATCAGCACTGCCTGCCGTAATTCTAGCTAATTCAAGGAGATGTGAGAATGATTAATTCATTCATAGTTGTTTTACATTAGACCAATGTTACCTCTCCATCTATCTAATTTCGATGGAAAGGATGCTGGGCTATTCTTTTCTATAGATCGATGAATTGGTTGTCGTGAGTGATACGATCTATCATTACGATTTAAATTAATTAGACGTAGAAAATAAATAAAAAAAGGTTCGAGTGATAACGGTAATCACTATGCTACCAATATCCTTTTGTTGTTAGCCTGAAACTGTGTTGTGGAATAATGTAAGAATACGCCGTTTGTAAAGCATTCACAACCCTAATAAAAATTGTATGGTTAATTTGCTTAACGACGTGTTCTGGGTATCATCGAAACCATTTGTGGAATAGTTCAATGATTTGAGTTATCGTTCGTTTATGGTTATTTTTTATTAGGGAAAGCATGCAATTAAAACATGGACGCACAGTGGTATAAGAGCTACTATGCTGACTGTAGTCACCTTTATTCAGCAATATTGTTAAGCATGAATCTAATGATGGAGCTAGAAAACAATTATTAGACGTATAATAAGGTATGTTATTAAATCAATTGAAAACAGTCGAATTAAAGCGTCAATGTATGTGCAAATTACACTTATTCAGTATGTTATTAGATCAAACTTCTGGTGTTGAATCAGGAAGACAGTCATCGTTTGTATAGCTTTTAATAAGTATTTCAATCAAATCAGAGCAAATAGCGGAATAAAGGCGCATATATCGAATCAATGAGTTTTTTTCAGCTCATAATTTGACAACCCGTTTTATTCAGCATTGTACACTGTTATAAAGCATTCATTCGAACCTATGCTTATTTGTGACTCTGAATTGTTTGTTGGGTTGTCTGTATCGCTCCACATTCAATCTCGTGCGGTTTTGCAGCATTCTTGCCCGTGTTGCATTCTTCTTCTCTACTAACAGTTTGCATTCGCCGTCAAACCTGTAATTTTTTCGGTCCGGGATTGTACTGTATGAGCGTACCCTCAGCGAATTTATCACTGTCAGTTGAATTGACGTTCAGCTTGACAAGTTAAAGGGCCAACACTAACAGTGTATTAGTTAGATTTTTGCTCACCTGGAGGCGCTAGGAGGTGTAAATCTTATAAGTGGGTCATTTTTTGCCTTATTTAATCTTAGAACACAGCCTAAGTGCCGGTAGTACCTAGTGGCAATTTTCAATTGCAAATTTATAGATTTATCGCCAAATTGGTCGAAAATGTACAATTAATAGAGGAAATCAAGAAATGCTAGCGCCACGTAACGGCGATATTCCCACTTATCTTTTGGTTGGATGGACGTCTGTTCTCTGTGGAGCAGGTTCGATGAACATGTTTCAAGCTGCATTCTGTTTATTTTTCATTCATGCTGGACTAAAATTCATAATGATGACTAAAATTGTACTTGAATGATATCACTGCTGAGATCCAGAGACAGCGTCCGGCCCGCGAGTCGCACGTTGGGCAGCGCTGATCTAAGCACAACATCACATGAATGTAAATCCATGTGGGAGAAACGTTACACCCAACCGTTATCACCATAACACATTCCATCCGTTTCAGTGTGATTTTTTTTTTCATTTATGTTCGACTCCCTTCCTGAAACACAGTGCCTTATCTAAACCAAAACAAACTGCGATAAGCGCTTATCTATCAGAGTTTCAGGTGAGCGTTTCACCTGTGATTCACCATTCGCCTCTATACTAGATATTAGTTTTCTGCTAGACCCCATACAAACGGCATACCTAATACACGCGATAATGTTCAGTTCAATCATAATCGATACTTTCCTACCTTGATCGTAATGGACGTTCTGGACGGTGTTCCGCGGTGCATCCTCGGCTATCAGGTCAAGACCCGCTCGCAGATTGTGTTTAGCTTTCTGGTTCCGGTGATTTTTGAACTGCTGGTCTACACGGTAGTCATCACGGCCGACGTGCTGGTGGTGGTGGAACATTTTCGCAATGGTAATCCGACGTGGGCTTGGTTCAGTTTGAGTTTCATGTGGCTGCCAGCGATTACGTGCTTTTCGGCCGTGCTGTCATCACCCAGCCAATGGCCGGAAACGATTGGCTTCGACCAGCGTACGTTGAGGTTTGTGGAAAAGAACTTGCTGGTGTTGGTGTTTTTCCCCGTGGCCGCGGTTTACAGGTTGGTGCTGGTGTAAGGGTGACTAGTGATTATTCATAAATTATCATTAATTTTAGGTTTAGTCGAAGGATATTCTGGAGTATTGAGGCACTGTTTCATGAAAAGACGTCGTATGGGAGAGTGCAGGCAGTGAGCAAGATCAGGGAGACGTCGCCGTTCGAGTTGTATCATTTTCTGCAAGCGTTTCTGCATGCTGCTCCGCAGATGTTCCTGCAGCTGTACATACTGCTGCGTGATAATGCGTTCAGGAACTACGAAACGGTTACTGCGCAGATAGTGAGTGTGGTGTTTTCGTTTCTCACAATGGCATCCATTGTAACGTCGTACCAGCGGTTTGAAAGTCAGAAGATTGTCGGACGATGTTATCCCTGGAGTTCCGAAGAGCAGGTGAAGGCTCGAAAGCGGGAGCTTCTACGATCGACCAGTACAGTGGAGAGTGTGCTGGAGAGGAATATAACGAGTGTGCTTCCTGAACCGGATCCGATTACACCGAACATTATGCGCAATTTCTATTCCAAGTTTGGTGAAGATCCACCTTCGCCTAGTGGATCCGGTGTTCAGCGTAAGACCATGAACGTAGACCAATACAATTTCGATACGCATTCCTCGAAGAAATATGGCGAACGCTACGGAAACTATACGGATGACGATAAACTGACCGTTTCCGATACGGTTGACTCTCTATCGCCGACGGTGAGTTTCAAGCAGGATTTGGTTGAGAATATCGATGACATTCAGGATTACATAAGAAGGACGGATGATTCCAAATTGGCTGGAGTTGGGGCCAACAGTGACGACGAGTACGAAGAACCAATCTATGCCGAAGTGTTCGATAAAACCCCTCGTACGCCAGCTCCACCGACTCCGGCGGCTTATCTGGCGAAGAGAGCTTCCATGTTGAAGAATATTTTCGTATTCGACGCGGAGAATTTCATCAAGAGCCACGTTCCTCGGCTTCCGGAAGGGATGTTCGATCACAGCGAACAGAAACCCGCAGCGGATCAGGTCGATAGTGATCTGTTGTCACTACCATCACGCCGGCAGATGATCAGTGGATTGGAGGAGGACGATCTCAGTGGCAAATCGGTTGCCTTTGCCGGTTGGGTTATGTTTCTGTTGATGAGAATGATCGCTCTGTCGGTGTTCTACGTGTTCTTCCCAACTTACTTCTGGATGATTTGCCTTAATCACTATCTGCTGATGATAGCCTGCATCATCTACGAAGTGCGGCTCCATGAAAAGCTTGAACGGTACTATTTCTACCTGTTCCTTGCTTACATCTACACGTTCTCCTTGATGGAGTTTAAGATTAAGTTCATTCACGTGCGCACCTGGTACGTCGGATACGTAGCGATAGTGTTCGCTCAAAATATCGCCATGAGCGCTCTGTGGTACAATCTGGGCTCGTTCGAATCCTGGTGGTTTGATTTTCTGCACTACATCACAATTGCCAGTGGCATTCTTAGCTTACTGTGCCTTATGTTCTATTACGCCTTCCTCAAACCTAAGGATAAACTACTGTTTGTAAACTAAGATTCACTCTCTTTTCACCCATGTCTTTCTTCATCGACCGAATAAGTATATTTCGTTATAATAAATTATTGTCTACAGACTAGCCAAGTGCTTTCTACTTTTTCCCTGGAAAGAACCACCGTTCTCGGAGATGATTTTAGAAATAGGCCATCGAAATGGCAAATGCTCTCATCCATCTTGTTGGATCACGAGCTTCTCAGCGTTTTATAATGGTTTAATCTATTAAATTGATTAGCGATAAACATTTTACGAGTTCTACCCCAACGGACTCGACTTTCCTCTTTCAATCCAAGAGTTGAATCACTGTAGAGAGGCTCCTCCGGAAAAGGATATATTTGTTAGCTTTCGCTTAGCGCACCGACTGACGTTCGCCAGCACATCATCAACGCGTTTTCCCCGTCCTCCCATCATCGCCATCAGTCAAGTCTGTGATGTAAAAGAAAAAAAAAAGCCGGGCATGCGAGCTTCCCGGCTCGTTCGGATGAGCCAACCCCGGCCAGGCCTCGCCATATCAACAAACAACGTTATGAATCGTTTACTTTTTATTATCGTTTTCCGGGGATATTCTTTTTCCGCACTCATCAACCATAGTATGGCAAAAGTTAATGTTAGTCCCGTTGCATATAAAAATAGGAGGGCTTTTTTTACTCGAATTATTGCCGCTTCGCAATACGTTGTATTCGCCCAACAATTCGGGAACGGGTGGATGGTGGTTCCGGCGGAGATACTTTAATGATGATGCCAATCTGTTCTGGGGGTGTAAAACGATAAGAGGATTTAAGCGCAGGCGGAAACATTCGCTGTACATATTTTATTCCAGTTAATACCCCCATTGGTGTAGGGAACACTACTCTACTACTCAACCCAAATATGAGGTTTAAATTTCCAAGTTATTTATTTATTACGGCTTAAATGTTCAAAGGACTACAAGGAGCCAAAAATCAATAAATAATTTTAAAGTTAAAAAAAAATATGTTTATGAGATGCATACATCTAGGGGCACGCAATAACCTTTAACTCCAACGCAGGCAACGACTGTAATTAAATTAATTCCAGTAACTACTGCTTTAATTACATTAATTACAAAGTGTAGAACATTAATTTTTTTCAAGTCGATTAATTACAGTTGAAATTTTGTAATTAAAGTACGTTAATTACATTTTTAATACTTTTAATTACATTAAGTATGGATAGTTAATTTTTTTTTTATTATAGTCACTTTAACACTCTTGGGTCATTCGTGACTTGTCCGGGGTGAGATTTGAACTCGTGACTTTGGCGTGAGAGGTATGAATGTTAACCACTACGCTGGAGTCGCCCCCAGGATAGTTAATTTTAATAACGGTCAGTACTACTTCAAAACACATTAAATACTTTAAGTACTTTTAATTGAATGTTAACTTCAACGCACCGATTTTTTGTATTGTGTGCACCTTGACATACATAGAGATCTCCAAGCTCAATCTCACAATCCATATATAAAAATGAAGAAGAAGAAGAAACAAAAAGGTATCGCGATATCGCAACTACTTTAAAAAGGTAGCGCGCGGTCTCACGTACACTTTTGTGTATCAAGAGAATTCTATTGTTTATGACTTCTTCTCACTTTTCCTGGGAGGCGACTTGAGTTACACAGGGTAACTCGAAACAACTCAAAATTGAGTCGAACATGCTCATTTCAGCGGGAAGTATGGCTACTCAAAAGAAGGTAGGCGCATTTTTAAGTAAATGACGTTCTCGCGCACTCTGTGATATTTCTAGCCGGGATGTTTTTTTTGATAAAAATTGTAAATTACCTGCTCCAGATTCATATTACTGGAACTGAAGATGACTGAAAATCGTCTCCGCATACAATTCCTACTTACCTTAGTACATTTCAGCCAGTGTTTTGCAATAATTTCGCCAGAATCTGAAGCCGCCATCTTGGATTACTAAATGGTGTCGGACATCGATGTTCACAGTGTTCACTCGGCTGTCGACAAAAGCAGACCACTCTCGAATTCTCGATGTGTGCCACGCGATCGTCTGTTTTCTCGGCAGCAACCATTGTGTGGTCCTCCTCCAAGGCGCCTAATACATAGGTGACACAGTAGGAAGAAGTGTTAGTTTGTTTACTAAACTGTACCGCCCATTTTGTTATGGCAAGTTTTGCTATAAGAAATGCTCCTCGTGTTTATTAGAGAAAATCACATCAAAGATTGATTACTCAACTAACAATTTTCGCGGTGTAAACGCTTTACTCATTTCATTTATACAGCCTCAAGCTGTATTCAAATGTTATACAATATGAGGAAACTTTTACTCAACCTCTAAACAAGCAAATCTGGCGAACTTAGTCAGCTACTTATGGCTGTTGGAACGGTCGGGAGAAGCTCTTATTGCATATCCATTAACGCTTCTATACAGCTGTTATCCTGCTGTTTAATTGTATGTGAACTTGAAAGGCGCTTATTCAACCTTTTCCCGGTTATCCAATAATCACTACACAGCTTTCTCTTGAAGCCGGGTTAAATACTGTTTACGCTTCTTCATATGAAGGAATTTATTGAGTTTATTTTGCTGTGAATCAAATTAATCGAAATTAGTTACAAATCATCACCAAATTATTTACCCTGCACCGGAACCTGGAATTGAACTCGAGACGACCTCATTTGGCAAACCTTGACACTACCAACTGTGCTACGCCAACACTTTGAACTTATGTAAACAAATCAACAATTCAACAACGAAATCGCTGAGTAGAGGCTTTATAATAGTACACATGAATCACTTTTCTCGACTAGTTATAAAAGAGCAGAGTAAAAGCTGTAAAACTGCACACATCTAAAAATAAACCTAGCTGACTGTGAAAATGCTTCCGAAGTTGCTCTTACACAGTTTATTAGCTGAGTACAGGTTGTTTAGTTGTTGAAAAAGCACTTTTGATGTTTATGTTATTCAACAAGAGTGGTTGGTTGTGTAGAAGCCATCAAATGAGTAATATATTCACTTTGTTAGCTTTGTTGCAGCTAAAGGGCGAAAACGAAATGATTGCGACACATTCAACAGGGCATAACTTTTTTACCATCGGGTAAAAATCAACCAAATTTTGCACACTTTCTCATTGATGTGTATTGTGTACATGCTGTCAAACTCGAAGTCGTGTTTTTCGATTCAACGAAAATGGAGGTGAACCAATGCGAGTTGAGAGAACAAATTCTTTCGAAACACCTGGAATTTCCTGACCTGTCGCACCGGCAGTTGGGAAAAATGTTGAACATTCACCATTCAACCGTCTCCAGAGTGTGGAAGCGGTTCCAGGAGCGGTTGACGTTGGACCACGGCAAAGGAGCTGGAAGAAAACCGGGACCGGAGAACAAAAAGACGGAGGGAAAGGTGAAGCGGATGATTAAAGCGAATTTGTGATTTGGCTAAAAAGATCGGCATGTCGCAGAGCTACGTCCAGAATGCAAAGAAGAGAGCTGGACTACATACATACAAGGTACAGAACTTCCCAAACCGCGATGAGCGGCAACAATCGACGGCTAAAACTCGGGCACGGAAGCTCTACGAGAAGATGCTGACAAAATATGGCTGCTGTGTGATGGACGACGAAACGTATATAAAAGCCGATTTTAAGCAAATTCCGGGGTTGGAGTTTTTCACCGGCAAGAGCAAGTTCGATGTGGACGACAAATTTAAGAAGAAGAAAATATCGAAGTTCACCTCCAAATATCTCATTTGGCAGGCCATCTGCTCTTGCGGACTGAGGAGTGAGCCTTTCGTGACAAAGGGCACAGTAAATGGCGAGATCTACAAATCTGAGTGCCTCGAGAAGCGCCTTTTGCTGTTCTTGCAGCAGCACGACGAAGCTCCGCTATTTTGGCCAGATTTGGCATCATGCCACTATTCTAAAAGTGTCCTGGAGTGGTATGAGGCCAATTCTGTCCATTTTGTTCCAAAGGACATGAATCCGCCAAACTGTCCGGAGCTGCGCCCGGTGGAGCAGTACTGGGCAATAATGAAGCGGGAACTTCGGAAAAGCAAGAAGACAGTCAAAGACGAGAAGGACATGTTAAGAAAATGAAAAAAAAACTGAGAAACTGGTACCGGATGACACTGTAAAGACTTCGATGGAGGGCATCAAGCGAAAATGCGTTCAATTTTACACTCAAGGCTCCATCGATTAACTTTTCTTTTGATTTTTAAAGTAAATATATGTATAAAACTACCCTTAAATTTTGGTTTGATTCTCAACATTATAAGAAAATTGGCATGACATTTTCGGTGTCGCAATAATTTCGTGTTCGCCCTTTACAAGTTGAAAGTTGATTATTGTGTGTATAGAAGTGACATTAGCGTTTATTGGCTGATGTTATTCAGTGCGACTGACAAATTGAATAATGGTTGTGAGAAAGTTGAGTAAACGCTCTCGAAAAATATTTTGCTAGCTTTGGCTTGTAGCTGTATCTGCAGTTTCTTTTCAGCTACTTTACAGCACAACGCTGGAAAAGTTGGCTTACAAAGCTGAAAATGTTAGTTGGGTAATTGCGTAGGAAATCAGTTTGGCACGGCATTTGTGACCAGCACGCACTCTACCGGTCGTATGAAACAGATCAAAAACTGTCCAAATCCGAGTCCAAATCCACCCATAAAAAATTTTGTGTGGAATTTCTGTTGGGAAAATAGTGAACTTTTCGTGAACATTAACGGCAAAGAACTCATCAACACTGGGAGACCGTGAGTTCCTGCTCACCTGTCATTTTCCATCTCGATCCTCCTCATTGTTCTTCATTCGCAGTTCTTTCGGTCGATGCGTCATCGACTTTGGAAAGCAACCGTTTCGTGATGAGTGTGTGAGTGCTGACCACGTTTTTGCGTCCATTGCTGCATTCGAAGCAATCTGACCCGAGATCTGACCCTCGATGGCGTAACTGGCATACAATGAAACCACTGGAAGCTTTTTGCACAGCGGAAGATAAAGTGTTTATTGTGTTGTACCTTTTGACTATAGTTTTAAGATGTATTGTATAGTGACCAAAAATCCTCGGCTCTGTA